ACAATCAATCATTTAGAAACATGTGGAAGGGAATCTGTGTTCTCCCCAGAGCAAACAGGTGACTCCATCAACCCACGATCAAACACTGTCCCAGAACTGTGCCCTCTCAGAGCCAGTCTGAAGAAGTGGTATCCCATAATCAAACTTGCTTCTTTAACACAGGGAAATAATGGCACCCAACTCTTAAGTCCACACACTAGATGTACTGCAAAGGACTTGCCAAAAAGCGAGCAAGAGCAAAGCCAGATGGTAGTCACTCTGCTTTGAAAAGCACTACCTTCAAGATGTGTCTGGGGAAAACACTGATCACTGTTTGCAAGTAAGATGGAAAAGAACAGGTTAGTGACTGCTTGAAAACTGGGTTAGTCAAACTCAAACACTCTATCTAAAACTTGATGAAATTTGTGGCACGCCATGAACCACAAGTTTAGAAACAGGACATTTATGAACAGGCCAATCTCCACATGGCTGGGAGCAGGTGCCTGTGGCTAGGAATCCCGTGACTACAAGCATCTAAATAGAAAAGAGAGGGGCCAAAAAACTATTTCTGGACAGCGATGCAAGTTCTCATCCAGCCTTCGTGGGAGGATGAATACCATCTAATGACACCTCTACCAAGCCACAGTGAACTGGACAATTTCATTTATCTTGTACAGCATGGGAGAGCTGTAGAGGCCCAGAGCACTGTTCTAGTGTTTTATGGCAATTTGGTTTATTGCATCATCCAGCTTCAGTTAAGTCACCATTTAACAACACTACAAAGCAAATGAAATCGCCTGTCAACATCCAACCCCACCAATATACTGCAGCTCTCTGCTATTCCATCTGAAAGAGCTACCTCTTACTCCAGTCACTTCCTTCTTGGCACTTCAGAGGAAACAAAAAATCCCTCTCCTGGCATTCTCTGTTTACCTGCTCAGCACTTCACTCATGAATCAAGCAGCAAGGAGAGTACAGTAACAGTGAAGACAGATTTAACGAAAGCAGTAAGATGGAAGACTGCAGAGGGAAACAAATAGAAGTTTCTTAATTTCTTTTTAGCAGGACAGATACTTGTGCTCTCAAGGAGCAACGTATGTTAGGTGCTTATAGGAAGGTCAGGAATTCCCTTCTTCTAGCTACAGGTTACTGCAGCTTTATTGGTTCAGACACTCATCAACAGAGAACATCAGATGGACAGGAGGAATACCTTCCCCACTACATCTCAAAAATGTTTCCCTAATTTCTTCTGATCAGGACATTCTTTTTGCTTAATGCTTCAAGATGCAAAAACCAGTAACGTGCCTTAACCACAATAACTCCTTCCTTCTTCCTTCACAATAAGCAGTTTTGAAATAACTTTTTTAAAAAGAACAGACTATTTGAAAAGCTGAATTTGTTGGAAACAAAAATAGTTAGGAACAAGACACTTATGTGGAAATTATGCATTGTGAGGCTCTAATAATGTAGAGTAAAAAGTTAGTCATTCTGCTCAGCTTAGCTTATAGCAGGAACCATTCGCTTTCACACAAAGGCTCCTATTTTGTTGGGTTTTCTGTGTTTCACAGCCAAGAAAGCTGAAGAGGGTGAAATGGGAGGGGTCTGCCTCACATTAAGACACCAATGGCAGCAGTAGCTCAGATGCCAAGGATCAGCTTTTCTGCCCTATTAGCGTCAAGTGAGTTTCTGAACAGCATTTTCCTGACTCAGGATTTTTACAAGACAGCAACTGGAAAGATAAATCTTTCTTTCATTAAATATTGCAATTAAAAATTTGTTTTCGAAATTATTCCTAAAACCACAGACAAAATAATCCACAAATTCCATTAACAGCCAATGAGATCAAAATGTATCTATGCTAAAGAAACAGGGCAAAAACCAATGGGAAAACAAGAATGCACAGAAGTAATAAATTCTCCATTTTCAGAACAGGACTAAAACTGTAGACACAGGTAGGCCTTCACTGCAAATGCCATCTCAGCAACAGCACTGGACCACCCATCTTCATCTCACCCTCCAATGTGAAACAAGTCTCTTTCTCCAAGATCCACTTACACTGAGCTTATGAGTATTAACTGAAAATAGTCCCCATGACAAGAGTGAAGCTTCAATCAAAATACATGGTGTGCCTGTCTGGCAGCAGGAGCAAGTAAAAGCTGACAATATGTCTTCACGTCGCTCAAGTTCTACTGATACACAACCTACACGCACAAAATTCCAGTTGGAGAAAGTTTCTGCTGTTCACTCTGGCTGTTGGACAAAACAGCTGCTGTATTATCACACACAGTCACACAAAAAAAAAAGGAGAAAAGGGATACAAAGGCAATTCAGAGTGAACTCCATTCCATCTTGCAGGTTTCACTGCATCTCTCCAGTGACCCTGGTGATTACTATAATTGTATTTACTGCTGAAGACACAGGGATATGCAGTAAAAATAATAATGAGTTACTTTATGACAACCGAATTGACATAATGGTAGGGAAATAAGCTACAAAAATGATGCAAGTGAAAATGAAAAGCAGAGCTCTGGTACGACAAAATTGAAAGGAAATTCTGGGCTACAAAATTTGATGTCCCTGAGCTATCACAATTTGAGCCTTGTTCAAATAAACTGACTGTCTGAAAAGAAATTTTTGAAAAGGCTTGTTTATGTTTGCTCCTGAACACGTTTCTATTGCTTATTGGCATGCTTCCTGCCCTTTCCTCTTCAGAAGCTTGGGAACATGAAGACGCTAAATGCTTGACTCGAAGTATCTGACTTCCTGCCTATACATATTTAAACCAGTGGTACTTGCCAGACTGTACATCACCTGGGCAAGTTTCATCGCCTGCCATAAAATGGGTTGGCTGGAATAACTAGGCAGCTTACTTAGGGCAGCTGCTTGCCTGGAGATAAGCAGAAACTTGCCCTTCAGAAATGAAGTGCTAGAAAATACAGCAATGACATGCACAACTAGAGAAATACAGACTAAGAAAAACACTACCACTTCCTAGTGCACTGTTCCTTGGTGGTTACTTTAGTTTATTGCCTCACCCCAAATTCCCAGTTTTTCTCAAAGCTCAGCTGTCTCAAGGAAGAATTTCTGACAAGGTTCACTTTTTCACATGTTAAGTTTGACACAAACCAGAAGGGAACAAGCACTTACGAGCAATGGAAATGGATGGTAACAAATAGCTCCATGTTAATAAACACAGCAACAAAACTCAAGCGACTGACAATGGATATGTCAGGACAAGGCTCCATCCGAAAAATCAAGGTCAGTGTAAACAGAACCCGAAGCATGCAGGAGGGAGAGCGCGTCACTGCGAGGGACACGAGCACTGCCTCACCTTCCTCTTGTCCAATGAGGGTATGGCTACCCCATTGGAGCGGTTAAGGTCTGACACCAGCACCTTCAGAATGTTCTGAATCTAAAGGAGGCGAAAGAAAAGGGGAAAGAGAAACGGCTCAGAAAAGGACAGAGAGAAAACGGCAATCAAAGGTAGCCAAAGAAACCAGCATCCTCCAGCTCGTGTACATCACACACCACCTCAGCATGTACCCTGACTCTAGTGTGCACCTTCCAGGAGAGGTAGTTGCTGACTATTGTAGCACACTTCATATGCTGGTGACACAGGCATCTACGCCATTCATCTATTACACTGGCACAACCCTTCCCCAGCTCTTTGGAAAAACCAAAGAACAAGGAGGTAGCAAATGATTTGGGAGAAAGAATGAGACACTCACATTCTCTGGAGGCTGCCGGTCATCGTTGGTGGGGGTCTCGGGTCTACTGCCTTCTTTAGTTTTGCGTTTTTTCTTAGTTCCTGCAGTTGCTCCAGGGCTATTCTTCTGCTGATATTCCTTCAGCTGGGAAAAAAAGGAAAAATCTGAAGTCCAAGCACAATATGCCTTCAATGAATATAATATCCCACCCCCCCAAAAAAAATTCAAACAACAAACTCCACAGGGTAAAAGAATGTAAAAAGTGTAAGGACAAGAAAAGCAGTCTTCAAAGAATTTGTCCCTCTGGGGGGAAAAAAAAAAAAAAAAAGAACAAATCCAGAGAAGCCTAAAGAACTAGTGTAAGGGGTTTATGGCAAGAGGCTCAGAAGTTGTAAATGTTCCACTTCTGTATACATCTAATGATGTTCTTGGGAAACAATCTGATACTCCATACTGCAACTAAAAGGAGATTAAAAGAAGTATTTTGGGGGTTTTTAGTGTTATCACTAAGATCAATAAGGAAAAATTAATAACGGGCAATTAATCCTGAATGCAAAGTGAAAAAGCAGTGCCTGATAGCAAGATCTTCCACTCTGTGAAAGATTTTAGGAAGGAAAATGACAATCGCCACAGATAACACATTAATACAGGTATTGTAATAACTGTGAAGTAAGAGGAGAAGCAATCTACAACTGATTTTTAAATCATATCCACTTCACCCAGGAAAAGCTAGTCTGATAAGCTGTAACTTGAAACCTGCTGGGTCTTCCGGCATTTTTGTGTATGTTACTGAACACCGAAACCCCGGACCAAGTGAGTCCCAGGCAGTTATGTAAACTGTCCGCTTCCACCTGCCCCCGGCACAGCCAAAACACCCCCGTCCCCCTGCGCCAGACACCGGCAGGCCGGGCATGGCTGCGCCCGCGCTTCGGAGCCAAGGTGGGAAAAAAATAATACATGAGAAGAAGGATCCCATTATTCGGAGGATTTCAAAATGGAAGCCTGAACTGCTCCAGGACACTTTCCCATTCGTATGACTTTGAGATAGAGGCGCATCCCGCCGGGACGGACGGGGCCGAGCAGCCCCGGAGAAAAAAAATAAGGGGAAAAAAAAAAAAGAAAAACTAAAAAAAAATAAAAAACCACAAAGGGGGAGTGGGGGAGATGCGGCGGGAAGGGAAAACACCAAAGCAAGCCAGGCAGACCGCCCAGCACCGCAGCAGCCCGGGCCCGGCCTCCCCCCGGCCGCCTCCCCCGGGCTGGG